AATGACATTGGCAGCACCCGCCCGCCCGCTGCCATCGTGCCCATTAATCATTAACTAAATAGGACTCATTTTGGCGAGACCTCTAAACTCATGTGGAGCTGCAAAATGGTACAGGTGAGCCATTTGGTTATTTTCGATTTACAATGAATACACAGGTTTTCTCTAGGCAGCCTATACAGGCTTTGCTGTGTGGTATTGTGAGCCGTGCCTCAGAAGAGTCCCTACCTCCCCTACAGTTGGTGGCTGCGACAAGATACTCTCATCATGGATAACAATCCCCAGCTTCCTCGAAGATACACTTTGAAGAGCGGCCAAGAATGTGCATTGCCCTGTGCCCCTCCGGAACAGCATTAGCACTGAGATTTGCTTCTGTTCATTAGAACCACCAACCTTAACAAGTACTCTACACTTTGTGGACTGTCGTCGTTGGCTGGAACCAGATATGTTAGATATGCCGGATCGGAATTACTGTCCACCACAGCCACCGTTGGTATCGTCATTTTGGCGGCTTCTAGATAAAGGAAACAATTTTACAATTTTACTACATAAGTTTTTGCAATTCCTCTCATAGTTAACTCGGAACTCACCTATGATAGCAGGGTGATTAGTGGAAACTGAAGTAAGAGTATTCATGAAAATGATCGCATCGGGAAGGCGAATACTTGCGCCGAAAAGCTGTCGAGTATTCGTCAACGTCCCCTCTTGCCAGCGTCGTACATGGGAATACTGCCCACACTAAAGAATGAACGACATTTTCTTGCAGAAAATCGTGAACATTTCCAACTAAAAGCCGTCCAAAAAATAAGGGCGCTTTTCAAAGATACAGGGGCATTTTGGTGCAATAGCCCATTCAATTACAGAAATTTTGCACAAAAAGTCTTTTGAAGCCACTTAAACGCAGTCAGGATTGCGATGGCTCGGATGGCTGAATTGGCAATTTCAGTGACACTTTTGAATTTCCTCCTCCTGCAATATACCTACGACTACCAACATTACCCAGAATTTATTGGTCCAGCGGTGGTAGGTGGAGACCGAAATCTCCCTTGAGGCAAATATGTACAATATGTTTTCTTTTCTTCTTTACAATATGTTTTCTTCCTTTTACAATATGTTTTCTTCTTTTCTTCTTTTTTACAATATGTTTTCTTCTTTACAATATGTTTTGATTGGTTACGCACGACGACTCCCTGTATTTATGTATTTATTTACTTATTTCCATACACTCGAGGTGCGCCCATAAAAACTATAAAAAATACACCGTGAAAGGACGGACCATGGCGGAAACTACAGATGTTTCCGCTATGGTACTTTCACGGTGATGTTGTATGTTGCTAACTTCGCTCGAACAGCTTTCTCACGATTTTACGGCACTGCTCGTAGGAGGGACATTTTGCTTTTTTGCTTGTTCTCTTTGCTACTCCATTTTGAACAACAGACTTTGGTAAACCTGTAGATTCCTGCAAAGCTACGAAATGTGGTACTTCTTGGTTACAGGAAATCACAGGTCTTCAGAAGGTGACTTAAACTAGCTTTGCTATGTATCATTTAATGCCTCCACCAACCAAAATGCGCTTTTTTGAACGATGGACTGCTGAAGGGGCGAAGGGGAGAGAGGCTCCTGTGTAATAGGAAGAGCCCGTGAATAGGGTTTTTGCCAAACACAGGAAAGCGCTCTGAGGTAGGCGATCCACTCTGTCAAGCTAGAGCTGCTCATTCCCCGTAGCCTTGGGCGGAACACTTTTCCCAACCGTTCAAATGAAAGCAAGCATCGGTAGCGGTTTTAAACGCTTCGGCTAAGCGCCAAAATATAACTGAATAAGAGGGTGGCGCTAGAACAACTAGTCATAACTCATGGCCTCACCTCTTCAGCCGTCTTCTCTACTGAAAACATTGTATCTCGATTTGTGGTTATAAACAGAATTAATCCACCTCTCATCGCAACATGTGCTATGAAATTTAACGCTCTGAAATGACATGCTATTCAGGGGGTTATCCTAGCCAAGGAGAAGGGAAGAAAGACCTTACAAAACAAAAGGAAAATGAGGTGAGAATACAAAACAAGGGGAAAGCAGACTTCCCAAGGATGAGTAAAAACGAACCTAATAAGATGAGTCCGAGCAATATCCAAATCAAAAACGCATACACCCAATCGTTCACCGTATAAAGCCCATTTCATATTATTATTAAGTGTTCCAATCTAAAGTCCAAGTTCACAGCATAGAAAACCTATCGAGATTATAACAGTACCTTATGACCTAGATGCAGGCGCGCATTGAACATGTCTGCCACCGTTACCAGAGACTCCAGCTTGAAGTAATCCTCCGCATGAAGTTCTTCTGATAGATACTCACTGAAATGAGTCATCCAATTAGACAGTGATGGATGAAAATACAAGTTCAGTTCTTCAACAAACCTTAACACAGACGGTCTCACAGCTGCTTTCTGAAGAGTTTCCTTACTAGGGGCGAAAGGCTTCGTTTTCGTCTGCAAAGAGTCAATTCAGCCTTGAACAGTATAGATGTACGCTTACCATTTTTGACAGTAGAAGGACACTCATTTCGAATAGCAAATGCCACAAAATCATTTTCGCAAGGAACATTCTTCATCCCAACACGTGAAACGAGCTCTCCTGTTTGCTGGC